CCGGTTCAAGTCACTAATCTGAAGTTCAAGCCTAAGATGAATATTATTATAATTTCCTATTATCTTTCTTATGATTCCTCATCAAGGAAAAAAGCAGTAAAATCAATTAGAGATTTCATTAGGCAACATAATAAACAATACATAATTATCACAGAAGATTTTAACTCTTTTCCCAAATCTGCTCCATCAATCAATACCCCACATCACTCTCCAAAAGGCAAATATACAATTATCTCTACAACTTTACAGATGTGGCAAAAATTGCCAACAAGGAATATGAATATACACACTTCACCTCTATTAGCGCATCAAGAATTGATCAAGTTTAAATCTCTAATAATCTAACAAGCAAAGTCATGAGTTACAAAGTTTACGATCAAACAGCTATTAAAATAGACCATAAACAAATCACAATTATTTTGGACTGGTTCGAATACAAATTAGACAGAATTTCCTATTCCACAAAAACTTTCCAGTTTCACAAGGCTTTAAACGAACAAATTTCATCATTAAAAGAGAAAATTGAACTGGTTGTTACCGCATTACCTAACATTTCTTGGGAAGATTTAAACATACTCATAAAAAACGTCATGGATAACAATATTCTAAAAAGAAATCAAGTAAACCCATCAAAGTCAAAAAAGTTTCTACAAAAGTATATCATAGCCATGAAGTCAATAAAAAGGTTAATATACAACATTCGAAATAATAAAAATTTCTCAAAACTTTTATCATTTGCTGTGGAAGTTGTCTCTAAAATCTCGACCAATTTCAAGTCTATAAAAACTCTGAGAAAAGTCCAGAGAATTATTCTTTAGAAAAAAATTGCAAAGAAAAGAGAAATTATTAATAATAAAATCCAAACTGGTATGGAAAAAAATTATCTTGGATTCTGGACAAAGCCCAAGGCAGCTCTCAAAAAAGCCCTGGGAGATCTTAAACCATCTCTTGATCTTTCTATACTATCTGATAGTAAATAATTAATTGATGATCCTGATGAACTTAATGAAATTATTATCAACCATTTTAAAAACATTCTTATAATAAAACCCTTCAATTTAAATAACGATTGAATAAATGATTATCAACCTTTATATCAAATTTCACCTAATGCCTTTGACAACTCAACTATTTCCATAATCTCTGAGGAGATTAGTGAAGCCCTAAAAGATCTTCCCAAAAATAAAGCTCCTGGTTTGTTCCTAATACCTTATGAAGTATGGTGCAATCTTGCTAAAAATACTTTACAACATATTAACAAATTATTTAACAATATATTAAACACATCCATTCCACCACACCACTGGAAACAATTAGTTATTACCCTTCTATCAAAAAAAATCACCTGGTTATATGATTTTGTGGATACTTGCCTCATCTTTCTTATAGAGTTTAGCAGAAAAATCTTCACAAAAATTCTTAACAAAAGATTTGCTCATGCTATGGAGATTCACAATATCCTATCAAAATTTAACTTTGCCGATTTAAAAAACCAAAGTATTATGGAGCCAATCTCTATTACCCTTTCTGAATTAAATTTGGCAAAAAACCTTAATAAAGAATTTTGGATCACCTCCTTTGACATCTTTAAGGCATTTGACTCAGTCAACTTAAAAAGTTTCCATCAAGTCCTTTTGCGAATCAAAGTTCCCTTATCAATTATTAAATTAATCTTTAACCTACTGACAGATAGAGAACTCAAAATTATTACATACTACAATTTAACCAACCCTCTTAAAGTTAGTCATAGTCTCGATTAGGGCAAAACCCTCTCACTACTTTTGTGGACTGTTTTTTACGATCCAATGGTTACTAAAATTTCAAATACTCACCATTTGCATTCTACTATTTTGGCATATATGGATAATGTGACCATTCTTAGTCACAATATTCAAGATCTTCAAAATGCTACCAATATTTTTTGCTCCTTTTTGAATCTTAATACAATAAGGTATAATAAAAAAAAAAACAGATCTTATTACCAACCTTAAACCTAGTTCTCGTCACCCAACACAAATTCTACTGATAGAAGATAAACCAATTATACCAAAACCATATAAGGAGTCAATTAAATACCTTGGCATCTATCTTTCAGGTTCCTCATCCTCTCATGCAACCAAACTTAAACTCAAGAATAAAATCATCAACTTTTTCTTAGCAATCACAAGCCAAAAAGGATAGAATGGCTCTATTACCAGGCAAGCAGTACACTGGATTATTCCAGCACAGCTTGACTATGCAACCCAAATTAGCATTATAAGTGATAATGAAATAACCTATCTTCAAGCCAAAATAAATAAAGCAATTAAAAGTAAACTAGGAGTAGAGTGTATTATTTCAAACAAAATTTTACATTCTCAAGCTGGCTTAGATATAGTTAATCTCCAGGATAGAAGAAACTTAATAGCAATCAAACTCCTTACCTTCAAACTATATAATGAAAAAACCTTCCCCTATATCAAAAAAGAAATTGCCTCTATACAGACAGCTCATGCCATTTGGTGTTGTTTAATTTGCAAACCTCAACATTTTAGTGAATCTTGATTAACTCTCGCAGCTCTTCTGGCAAAAAGATATAGAATTAACATCTGCCTATCCCCCTGCTCTTTCAATACTATCAATTATAAATACTTAATCAAGTTGTAAACAAAAATCTCCAAGTCAGCGGCTCTCTCACTTTCAAAGTCAAACACTAAAATTATTTAAGATCTTTTGATATTTAATCGTCCAATTAAATTGTCCTGGGATGAGCTTCATATACACAGAGGGTTCATCGCTCAGGGTTCTATTTCCCCTTGGTTTAAAAACATTATTAATAATGATTTCCAAATTGTTGGAAATATATTATCTCTAAACAATACCAAACCTTCTTTTTGGGCTTTTTTAGCCAACAACAATATAGAATTTATAAAAACTCACAAAAATTCCATTGTTTCAAATTTCATTGAAGGTCCATATTTTACAATAACAAATCAAAAACTTTTAACCCCTTGCAACTGCGTTAATCAATCATGCCTTATTACAAAAGATATCAAAGATTTGAAATCAACTTGGATGGTCAAAAGGCTTGGCTCTCCTTTCTTACTGAATAATATTGAGAAACTAAAAGAATTCTTGACTTCTCCATCATTAAATATTCCTCAGATAATAATATTTCCACCTACAGAAGACCCAAAAGATCCTATTGATCTTAAAATTCTTCAAAGAAATAATTTACTCCTAATTCACCATACCATTTCTCCCCTTCTTTATAACTTGTCTCCCAACCCTTGGGCTTTCTTTTGACCTATCTTGACCAAAACTATCCACAATATACCTGACAATTCAAAAGTCCAAATCAATTTGAATTAATTTTCAAATCTTTTAGTTTCTGAGTATCCTAACAGGTAAATAAAAGTTCCCTTTTGCAGATTCATTTTAAAAGTTAATTAGCTTTGCCTTCACAAAAATATAGCCATTATCTGGATCAAAAATGATAAGAATAATACTTTTGAAGCAAATTCATTTCAAAATTTTTTATATACTTCTTCAACCCAAACATCCCTCACAACTCCTTTAACTTATAATCCCTCATCTTTAATTAATCAAATGTATGCTACTAGCATAATACATTGGATCAAATTTGTTAATCGTTTTACAAATCTTTTTAACTTGCTGTTGAGCCAATCTACTGTACTTAAACTTCAATCCTTGGAGGATTTGGAAACTATTATTAACTCAAACAAAAAAATCAAGAAACTCGACCAAGTAAAGTACAAAGCACTTGCCACTTTTAGAATCAAACTTATCGCCAATCAAATTCCAACAAGATCCAAGCTGTTTAAATGATATCCTATCCTCTATGATAATGATCTTTGCCTCCGGTGTGATGCCTTTCCAGAAACCATCAACCATATATTCAATTGCTATCATGCACTCAAATACATCAACAAAAAGAAACACAAACTGGAACAGCTTATTACAAACCAACTTGAAAAAGATCTCCATCCAGCAAATCTCAACTTTACTATTTCTAATCTTATAAGTGAAATTATCTTCAATCTAGCTATAGGCTTCTACTATACTCCATTTAATCTAATAAAAAAAAGAACAGAAATTTCAAACAGGGCTTTAAAAATTTTATACAAGGTTTGGAAACAAAGGTCAGAAACAGCTTGTACCTCTCCTTCTTCTGAAATCAAGTGAAAAAAAACAGTAGCGTCAAGAAATAATAATTATACAACAATTAATAACAATAATAATAACAATTCAGTATTTCAAAAAATCTTAAATCTTTTAGAATTAAATCATAATTACACTAACAAATCTATTTTCACTTCAGCCATAATATCATTGTTCTGAATGGATATTAACCATTTGGCACTAGTTCTATTAAGCCCACCTTCTTGGTGTAAGTAGATAAAACTAGTTTAAGTTACAATAGGTTATAATTAATTTGTACTTTACAAAGACTATTAATGTAATGGTAGCAAACAATTGTTTAATAAAAGTCTCACATTTAATGCCTATTTGCGATAAAAAAAAAAAATTTCTTGTTTAACCATTGATTATTATTAAATTTGATCATTGGGCCATGATTTTTGTTATGGGAGTGTACATGGTACACGTAGAGTGAAATTTTCGGCTATATCTAAATCATGATTTATAACACGTGATCTGTGGTTCTATAATAAATTTAATTAAAGTCGGAGTTTATATAACGAAATATAATTCAGAATTTATATGACGAAATTAGATAAATCGGAGTTTATAAAACGAAATTATAGTAAATTATATATATATTTTATTTAACTATAATATAAAAAAAGTATTTAAATAAAATTATTTCTTATTATTTTAAATTTTTATTAAATTTTAATAGGTTACTAGAGTATTTATAAAGATTGAAAAATTTCGCGTAAATTCGTAAATTTTACTACGTGACGATCACGATTCCATCACGTGATTAAACACGTAAAAATAAACTTCGGAAATTTCTATTTGTTTACTCTCTCCCTACTATGAGCCAACAAAAGAAAAAACCGTATGGTTTCGATGGCAAGTACACGTTTCTGAAACTGACGCGACTTTCTACATTTACTTACCAATACAATATCAAATTTTCAGTCTTTAAGTCATATTTCACGTGGGCATCGAATCAGAACGTTATCCCTTCTTTGTCAGAATTTGTTCGTTTGAACGTTGACTTTGTAGCCAGATCATCTACTCAAACAAGTGACCTTCTAGGACTGGAGGGTGCATGGGCAAAGCGTTTCGATTCAACTGCAGAGATATTGAATATTGAGGAAAGTATAACTATTATTTTCTCCGTGTAGGGCATGTATCAAAAAATATCATCCTCGTTCTAGTAATGTTGTGGGAGCTTCAGTTGGGTTTACTGACTGCGGTTTTACATTCCTAACATTGCGGACATAGTAGTGTTGTGGGAGCTTCAGTCGGGTTTACTGACTGCGGTTTTACATTCCCAACACTCATCCCATCATTATGTACCTCATCTCCCACCTCAATAAGTATGCTCTAACAATTTTTAAATATAAAAATACAGGTAGTTAATGACAAAGCAGATTGGTCTTGTGTCATCGAAAGATGGCATATGGTAGGTTACAAAACTTATGGGCTTGTTTCTCTCAATCAATATCACTGTGATTTAATA